GCCAAGCGTCGGCTGGAGGGGTGTAAAGCGCCGCCACTGGACTCTGGAGCAGTGGAACCGTGTTCTCTGGAGTGATGAATCAGCTTCTCTATCTGTCAGTCTGATGATGAATCTGGGTTTGGTGGATGTCAGGAGAACGTTACCGTTAGGATGATGGGCTGGGCTGTTGTTCAGGGTTTGGGCCCCTCAGTTCCAGTGAAGGGTGATGTTGATGCTGCAGCACAAAGACAGTTTACAGTTATCTGCTTCCAGCTTTGTGTCAGCAGTTTGGGGAGGAGCCTTTCCTGTTCCAAATAAAATGTCTGTATTTGTGTTGTAGTCATGGCGACCCCTGGTTCCACTCTGTTGTGGAGGAATTTCAGGAAAATGTGTTGAATTCCCCTTTAAACCCTTCCTATTTTGTCAAGGTTTGGGAACCTTGGTTTGGTTTGTTATTGTTGACTTAATCAAAAGGAAGTGATATCTCTCTGATCACCGATCTAATCGACAGTGAGCGCTCAGCTCTAACAGGATACGGAGTGATGATGAGTTCCTCGTGCAGGTGGTTAGAGAGGCCGCATGTGAGAACGGTTAGTTTCAGTATTAGATTAGTCTCGGAGTCCTAATCTAACACGCACTGCGCTCTATAGAGGAAGTGAGGCCAGTAATTACAGCGTAATAAACCAGAAAAACGTTACAAAGGCCAAAACAGGGAGAGACGGGAGCTCCAACACAAAGTTCAAACCGCTTATCAACCGAAGGCCTCATACAGCAGCACATTAAGGAGCTCGTATCACAGAAAAATACACTATTTTAAATAAGAGACTGATGTAGTAAATAAACTCTGCTTGGGCTTCAAAACACACCGTTCAGCCCTCATACAGACACTGAGCTGCAGAAACAGCGTTTTCAATTCGTTTCTGTGATGTCACAAAAACAAACTCGTTTATATACACCCGTTAATCCGGCCTGCAGCAGTGTAGCCCCACCCACTCATGCCGAAGAGGCACAGCCAATCAGAACAGAGCTTATTTACATAGCCAAGTCTTAAAGGCGCAGTGACACAAAAAAAGCCTGTTTTGAATTGTTTGTGATGACAGTATGGTATAAACTCTCACTATGACGTGACGAACATGATCAGAACGGACTTAAACTTTCTGATAGGGAACGTAATCAGATACAGGCGTTTACATGGACGTGTTATATTCCGATTAAGCTATTAGTTGAATAATTAATGGATTATTAGGCTGCATGTAAACGTGGCTACTGTCAGTGGAAACCCATGTAGTGAAATGTAGCATATGGGCCCTTTAATATTCTAGCACTTCACTGCTGTCTGAACAAAACCTCATATCTCTATTTTTGTCATTTTTCGGTTTTTGACATAATCTGAAAATGCCTGTTTCCCTTTACTTTGTGTGTAAATTTCATGATGAATGGACCAAAATGACCTGGAGGAAAGTCTGGTTCCATTGACTTACATTGAAATTAGACTGTGATTTTTCCTTCTCCTGTGAAGTTACCAGTTTGGAGATACGAGGTTTTGCTCTGACAGCAGCGAAATATGATAAATAATCAGGTCATTTTGTTCCTGAACTTGTTCTGCAGGTTTAATCTCATACATTTACTTCTCGGTCTCTGTTATAAAGCAGGTCAGCCCTCCTGCGGCTCGACTGGGGGAGTTTAAGGGAGAAACAGAAGAGTCAGGATGAGAAAACTGGAAAAAGACACCAGTCTACAAAACCTCAAACTCACTAAAGTCCCGTCCAGCTAATCTCAGAGCCTCAGAGCTGGCAGATCACCCTGGATCAGAGTCTATCCTGACCTACCAGCTCTAGTTTAAAACATACAATCAACAACTGTGAACACGGGGATCTTTATTCAGCACTCAGCACTAAATCCAGGTAAACTGGACTAATTTTGCTCTCTTTATGATGAAACCTGCAGTTGGTCAGTGTTCAAGCACTGACGATACACAGGACATGCTAAGGAATGCATATTGTATTATACTGTGACGTAATTTATTATGATAATTATGTATATTGTCATATTTCCCAGCTCTAGTTTAAAGTAATTCACTCAGGCCGCAGCGTCAGACACTATCGAGGGACTATAAGACACTTTCACAGCGAATGACAGGATACGAGTCAGAAAAACTATGAGCCCAATTAACTGAGCGTCTCACACACTGCAGGTCCGGCTGTCCTCTTCACAATGAAAATTTAATGTCATTTAAAGGGGAACTCCACCTATTTACCAAAATTCCCTCTCACTCAGTGTGTGAGGTGTAATCAGAGAGATTCAGAGTGGTTTGGTGTGAAATGGTTCAGATGTCTTTACAGTGGTGCTGATAGGAACCAGGGGTCGCCATGACTACAACACAGATATAGACATTTTATTTACTATCCAGAACCACCAGTGAACCTACACGAGTCTTCTGAGTTTATATGAATGTTGATGATGAAAATAGTGGAAAATCTGAAATAATCAGTTTTATTTGGGGACTATTTTGCCTCACAGCGCCCTGCATGTATCCCTCCACCATGAATGGAGTTTAAGTTCTCTAAACTATCCTAAAACAGTGTCTCAGTCATCAGGCAGTGAATTCATAACCATTTCATGTAGTAACTTTCTGTGAGGGAGCTTTTAGAGGTGGACGTCTGGTTCCTATCACCACCACTGTGAACAGTTCTGACTCGGTAAGTTTATCTAGAACGGAGCGTTTCACACCAAACCACTCTGAACCGCCCTGAACCGCTCTGAACCGCCCTGAACCGCTCTGATTACATCTTAACCACTTAATTATGCAGGAATGTTTGGAAATTGGGTGGAGTTCCCCTTTAGGCACTTACAGTATACACAGTAAAAAAAGTATCATGGTTACAGTTTATCGCAATAACAGTAGTGTATCGTTATATCGCCCACCCCTCACACTGCACCCCCACTGCACACGGTCTACACACCAACACAGCTTCTAATGTGCAGAAAAACATCAGTACAGTAAAACTAGCCCCCTCACAGACCCCCTTAGAGCTCTGCACAGGTGAGCATAGTGCTGATGATCTGACCTGATAGAGCTCTGCGCAGCAGCCTCCCGAACATCAGGCTCTCCTCCTTCCTCCTCTTCTCCTCTCCTCTTTCCTTCTCTCTCCTCTCTCTTTATTTCTCTCTCTCTCTCTCTTCTCCTACTGTTCTCTCTCTCTCTGCTCTGCTTCTGTCTCTCCTCTCTCTCTGTCTCTCTCACCGTCTTCTTCTCCTCCTCCTCCTCTCCTCCCCCTCTCTCTCCTTCCTCCTCTCTCTCCTCCTCACTCCTCCGCGAGCGCCATTAACGCTTCGCCCGTCCCTGACGTCACCGAGGCGGAAGCGCGAGCGTCGTCGTGAGGAAATTAATAAAAGCGTAAAATGAACTTTAACGCATCCGCGTGAGCCTCTCGTGAAAGCTGTAGAGCCGGAACTGCTCCGAGCGCGAGAGTCACCGTTAAAAAAACAGAGCACGAGGAACAATAAAACCCGCCCACAAACACGGCCGCGCCGGGCGCGCTCCACCACGCGCACTCGAGGGCGCCTAAAAAGTGCGCAGGGCGCCCAAACGAGGCAGGGCTCGCTTTCTACAGCACGCAGCTCCGGCGCGAGCGCTCGCGTGTACTTGGACTTTTGCATACCTGCCTTTGTGTTCTAGAACACTCATACCTGCTTACACCGGCGTTCTAGAATGCTAATGCTCTAGAATAGCTAAGTACTCCTGTTCTTGTGTTCTAGAACACTCATACCTGCTTACACCGGCGTTCTAGAATGCTAATGCTCTAGAACAGCTAAGTACTCTTGCTCTTGTGTTCTAGAACACTCATACTTGCTTACACCAGTGTTCTAGAATGGTAATGCTCTAGAACAGCTAAGTACTCTTGCTCGTGTTCTAGAACACCCATGCTCTATAACACCCAAGTACGCTTGCATTTGTGTTCCGGAATGCTCGTGTTTTCTTTTGTTCTAGAACACGTGTATACTCGTGCTTGTGTTCTAGAACACTCATCCTTGCTGGGTCTTGTGTTCTACAACTCTTAAGCAGACTTGTGCTGGTTCTAGAACAGCGTGTGTGCTTGTGTTCACTTACACTCCACTTCCACATTTCTGCATATTTGCTCTTGCGTTCTAGAGCACTGCTTGTGTTCTAAAACGAATAGAACACAAACACATAACTCTGGCTGCCACTGCAAACGTGTTCCAAACCGTTAGTGCTCTCGGACTCAGTCTGTGCTAAAGAGCTCTGGGCTGTGTCTCAAATCGAGCCCTAGTTCCCTACAGAGTGAATGGCTGCTCACTAAAGAAGCTGAGTGACCTAATTAGGCCTTAAGAGGGACCAGATTTACTGGACCACCTGGAAAACGTGGTAAACCAAGAACACGCCTGACTGAAAAACACATAAATGATGAATAAGCGAAGACGCTAAACCCACAGAAACCACTAAGCGTGTCTGCTGGTTCCTGATGGTTCTGTAATGCGTCTTGGCTGTTGTAATGGGTTGGTATCACAGTGTTAAAGACCATAATGGTTTAACAGGTGACCAGTGACTGATTGTTAATGCATCTGATGGGTTCATATAGGGATCTAAAGGTGCTCTACAGGAAACCAGTGGATCGCTAGTGCCTCTAAAAGCTCCCTCACAGAAAGTTCCTACATGAAATGGTTATGAATTCACTGCCTGATGACTGAGACACTGTTTTATGATGGTTTAGAGAACTTAAACTCCATTCATGGTGGAGGGATACATGCAGGGCGCTGTGAGGCAAAATAGTCCCCAAAGAAAACTTATTATTTCAGATTTTCCACTATTTTCCATCATCAACATTCCATATAAACTCAGAAGACTCGTGTAGGTTCACTGGTGGGTTTAATGTCTGTTTAAACGTCTAAATCTGACCCGTTTCACTCCGAATCACTGTTTACATCTCACACACTCCACTGTAGTGCGCACTCCCTCCCTCGCTCCCTCGCAGTGCCCGGATGTAAAGCGCCCTGCAGCTCCAGCTACCGGCGGACGCCTGAAATGCAGCGTAGCTGAGATACACGGTCGGACAAAGTTAGCTAAACTACGAAAAACAAACCGTCCCGAACCGACTAACGCCAGCATGTTCGGCTCGTCCAGGTCCGGAGGAGTGAGAGGAGGACAGGACCAGTTCAACTGGGACGATGTTAAAGCGGACAAACACAGAGAGAACTACCTGGGTGAGGAAAGCAGCCTAGCCTAGCCTAGCTTAGCTTAGCACAGCGCCGTAGCGCCCCGGTATCTCATTTCACGATTTAGGACAAAACCGCTGTAAAAAACCCGAATCTGTTTGCTTAACCGAACCTAACTCTCCGTTCCACCTTAAACGCTGCAGCAGTTACAGTCTGGCGACTCAGGCGGTCCAATAATAACTGAGGCTCCATTTAAGGTGGAACGGAAAGTTCGAATAAGAAGCGTTAGCTTTGTCTTGGCGCAGCTAACGAGCGTGTGGCGGGTTCAGTCGGTTCGGGAGCCCAAACTGAAGGAGATATTCCGGATAAATCGCACAGACGGAGCTGATTTTGGAGCTAAAACAACAGCTCGGGTGTTTTAAAGTGCTTTAAGTCCCGGATGGGCGCCGCGGCTGCGGCTCCGGCTGGCTGCGTGGATAGGGAGAGTGAGGAGCGGGGTTATCGGTTTTATTGCGGGCTGTTCTTTCTTACCTGCTCCTTCAGAGCCTCCTCTCATCACATCGCCGCCCGGGTCACTCCGAGCTGAGGTCCGGATCAGTTTAAGCCCAGTTTCCCGCTGTGTGTGTCTGACCCGCTCGGAGCCGCGGCCTCCTCACCGCGCCGGACTTTTAACTTTTAACTCTGCTCCAAAATTAGACCTGCACCGCCCGCAGGGGCGACTCCCAGCCTCACCTCCTCACCAGGGCTGTGAATGACCACAGTGTTTAAGCTTTAATACGTTTTAATACGTTTTTGATTCGATTTGTATGGCAAATTCTGATTTAAAATAGTGTTGCCATATGGCAACAAAAGATTTTTATTTTAAATTTTGTTTTTACTTTGTACTTTTACTTTATATTTATAAAAAAAAAAAATCCTGTGGGAGGTATGGATACTTTTTCCGAAATAAAACCAGTTTAGATTTTGTTATTTTTATATAAAAATATTTTAAAAATTAATTGTTGCCATATGGCAACAGCATGGGACAATGGAGCTGCAGTCTACAATGTACGTCTGCTGGGAGTAAATTAATACACTGCTGTTTCCACATCTTTTTATGCTCCAGCTCGCTTTGATTTTTATCATTTTATATGTTAAATCTTAATAAAAATGGTGTTGCCAGATGGCAACACTAGCTTTTTATTTCTAATTTCGTGCTATACTACTTTATGTTCACAAAAAAATTCTGTGGGCGGTAAGGATACTTTTTCTGAAATTAAATCAGTATGCATTTTGTTCTTTTTACATAAAAATTTTAAAGAAAAAATTAATTGTTGCCATATGGCAACAGCATGCGGCAATACAGCTGCAGTCTACAGCGTACATCTACTGGGAGTAAATTAATACACTGCTTTCACACCTTTTTATACTTCGATTTTTATAATTTTTATATGTCAAATTCTATTTTAAATGGTGTTGCCATATGGCAACAGTGACTCTTTATTTTTAATTTTGTGTTTACTTTATTATCTAATTTTACTTTATGTTTACCAGAAAACACATCCTGTGGGAGGGAACAATTCTTTTTCATAAATAAAGCCAGTTTAAAATTCTATTTATTTTATATAAAAGTGCAAAAATATAATTGTTGCCACCTGGCAACAGCATGTGACAATGGGACTGCAGTCTACAGTGTACATATACTGGGAGTAAATGAATACACTGCTGTTGTCACATCTTTTTACACTCAAACTTGATATTTTTATCAATATTTACATTTCATAACTCTTTCTGTTCTCTTAAAACATGTGTTCCTATTTAGCTGTGATCCACATGTTCTTTTCATGCCTGGATGATGAACATGGCCGTTGTGTTGGTTTAATGCCCATTGTATGCATTGCTGAGTGTGTTTCCATTGTGGCGACAAAATGTAAAATACACCCGTCATCCCGTTTTCAATAAGAACGATTCTGCGTATTTCAGAATTCATGCAGTAAAGTGTTACTAATACACTACACAGATTACTGTGGCTCAGAGGAAACACAGTGGTTCAGGGTTCTCCAGGCCCCCCTCTGTGGTAAATGTTAGTGTTCCTCGTTTCCTGAGTTCTACACTAGTTTAGTCTGATATATCGAAGCAGAGGAGTTGGGGTAAAAGCAGAACATGTGCCGTAACTTTTCCACAGGACACGTTTTATATTTTATGATTTATTTATTTCCAATATGTTAAAACGATAAATGGAAACTGGGCTTTAAACCCTCTGTAGATGAAGTGTTCACTTATTTTGGTGTCAATAAAAATGTCATAAACAGACACGGCCCTTTTGTGTAGAGGTGCGAGTGTGTGTGTGTCTGTGTGCTCTGTGTGTGTGTGTCTGTGTGTGTGTGTCTGTGTGCTCTGTCTGTGTGTGTGTGTCTGTGTGCTCTGTGTGTGTGTGTGTGTGTATGTACTCTGTGTGTGTGTGTATGTGCTCTGTGTGTGTGTGTGTTTGTGTGCTCTGTGTGTGTGTGTGTGTGTGTGTGTTTGTGTGCTCTGTGTGTGTGTGTGTATGTGCTCTGTGTGTGTGTGTGTGTATGTGCTCTGTGTGTGTGTGTGTGTACTCTGTATGTGTGTGTGTGTTTGTGTGTGTGTGTGTGTTTGTGTGCTCTGTGTGTGTGTGTGTATGTGCTCTGTGTGTGTGTGTTTGTGTGCTCTGTGTACTCTGTGTGTGTGTGTATGTACTCTGTGTGTGTGTCTGTGTGTGTGTGTGTACTCTGTGTGTGTGTGTATGTACTCTGTGTGTGTGTCTGTGTGTGTTTGTGTACTCTGTGTGTGCTGGGGGTCTCACTGAGAGCTGCTGGTGTTGTAGGGAACTCCCTCATGGCCCCCGTGGGGCGCTGGCAGAAGGGCCGGGACCTGACATGGTACGCTAAAGATAAGAAGGCCGGGGGCGTGTCCAGAGAGCAGGAGCTGGCAGCCGTACGGGAGGCCGAACAGGAGGCCATGATGGCTGCACTGTGAGTGTGTACACACAGACACACACACACACAGACACACACACACACACACACACAGAGTAGTCTTAGCCTTAATAGGTACATTTATGGGTAATATTTTATACTCAAATTTATATTGTTATTAATATAACTTTATTACTAACAATAATAATAATAGTGTCATTATTATTCATAATGATTAGCATCGCAAAGTTCTGTAGTAGTGCATAATGTATCATTGTTATTAGTATTAATAATAAAGAATATTAATTTTTAGTGTTCCTCAGTTGTCTGAGCTCTGAACTAGTGTATAATGATACATTAATCTTTAATAGTGATATTCATTGTTAGTATTGGCGTTTGTAGTGATACTAGTGGGAAATGTAGTAATAATAATAATAATAATAACAATAATAAAGGTCTAAATACAAATAGATACAGTAATAGTTATATAATAGTTATTATTTTTCATTTTTTGAGTTATAAATATATATATATATATATATATATATATATATATATATATATATATATATATATATATAGTGTCTTTAATATTATATAGTGTCTTTAATATTAATCTAGAGGTAGACAATATGCCAAAACCAGTATATTCCAGTACTACCGAATGCGCTAGTAGGGTCGCTCAGTGGTGGCCAATATGGCAAAAATACAGGATCATGATATTTCAGTTAATTTTCATGATACACCACGAGTTTCACATCCTCTGGAATCTGATGAGATGGAAAAGAGAATAAAGGGAAACCAGCAGAGTCAGATTAAAAATGCTGTCAGAGCTATGAACACACGTTTATTCAGTGTTTCACACTCATTCTCTCTAAATCCAGTTAAAACGATTAACCATCCTGTCTTTGTAGTGACTCACACAGTGGTTCAGGGTTCTCCAGGTACCGATGAGGCCCATCATGCACTCTGTTTATCACTGTAGTGGTGAAGTGCCGTCGTTTTGCCCACCTCTACGGTAAATGTTAGTATTATACCAGCGTATCAGGCATTTAGTCCGATGTATCGACACAGAGGAGTTATAGAGGGGCTCAGTCAGTAATGACCTGCCTCGACTCTGTTTACTCTGTTACTGAGTGAGTGAGTCAGTGCTGTGTGAACGCCTGTGTGTTTGTATTAATCTTCGTCCTCTTGTGTTGCAGGGGTCATAAGACGGTGCAGAGACGGCCGGCCGGGACTCACGAAGGAGGTGCGTGTTCAAAGTGTCCTAATCTGGGCTTTACTCTCTGTACCAGATCCTCACTGTTAATTAATCTGTGTTTATGAGCTGAACGTTCTAGATATGTGCTGATCCGTGTGGGTTCTCTCTGAAGGATCTGGCGGACGTGTGCAGGAGAGACGGAGACGCGGAGGAGCGAAGCGTCGACAGAATCTCTGGCCTGGGAAGCTCCAGGTAAACATAAGACACGACGTGTTTAGTGTCTGATCCCTGCTTCTTTAGTTCTACACCAGAGCTAATGTGGCTACAAGCAATGCACGTTTAAACCACACCAGTTAGCATGATGCTAACTGCATGTTTAAGCCCTCGAACTAAGTGGAGGTGTTCAGAGTCTCTGATAGACTGGATTGTGTGGGCTCTGACACTATGGATCACTGTTATCTATGAACATGGACTGAAGTACATTAGCATTAGCTAAAAACAGTGGCACCATCGTGAAGCCTGAATTTTGTCCCTACCTTTATGTAACTGTAGCTGCATGAAGAACAGTTTCTGTGGAACTGAAAGCAGTTCAAGAATAATAAAAGTTTCATGCAGCTTATCGATTTTTCTCCTGGTTAGCAAGACGAGCCGCTAGTAATGAGGGCGTGTTTAGAGGAGAGAGTAGCGAAGCTTCTCAGATAGCGCTAGCACAGGCTAACCAAGCAGGACAGGCAAGTCAAGTCAGCTTTATTGTCAATACTACAACATGTACAGGACATACAGAGCGTTACTCTCAGACCCCACGGTGTAGCAATAACATTAAATAGATGGTAAACAGGAAATGTGTGAATTAAATAGACACTAAATAAACACTAAACACTAATCATGAAAATAAATACTAATTGTAGAGAAATAGCATAATAAAAAAAAAATTATATACATAACAACCACCTGGGATAGCATAGCAACACCCTGATAACCACCTGGAATGACAGCAACACCCTAACGACCACCTGGAATGACAGCAACACCCTAACGACCACCTGGAATGACAGTAACACCCTAACAACCACCTGGGATAACATAGCAACACCCTAATGACCACATGGGATAACAGCAACACCATAACAACCACCTGGGATAACATAGCAACACCCTAATAACCACCTGGGATAACAGCAACACCATAACAACCACCTGGGATAGCAGTTTCCCTCATTGTGAGGAGCAGCCCTGTGTTTTTAAACAGTGTAAAAACCCACAGTAATGTAGATTCTGAAGGCTTTGTGTTAAAGACTGGAGTTCTGGTTCCTTTGGTGAGTCACCACAGTGAGCCCACAGCGGAGCTGCTGTTCAGGTTATTGATCAGACCCTGTGGAGGTGATTAGATATAAAATCCACAGTAAGGTTCAGAGTTTAGACTGAATTCATTAATACAGGGAATGAATCTGTGTAGAGGTTTAGAGTGAGATCACATTCAGGCACTGATGAGGTCAGCTTCTCTGAGTGTCCACTCTGTGTGTGTTTACAGCGCCGGGTCCAGAGGGATGGTTCTGTCCAAGCAGGAGAAGGAGGCGGTGAAAATGGGCCTGCCTGTGTTTACAGTACGTACAGCCTGGGGTGACTGTAGTACAGTTACTGCACTGCACTACATATTAAACACTGTGTACTTTCTTATATCTTATTATTATTATTGTTATTATTATTATTATTATTATTTTAGTATTTATTCATTATATACTGATTTTGTATTTATTATTATTATTATTAGTGATAGTAATATTATTAATTTTATCATTATTGTAGAATTTGTTCATAGTGCTTCACATTCTTATTTTGTATTTTATTTACTCAATATTATTATTATTATATCATAATTAGTATAATCAGGGATGCACTGATGCCACTTTTTCCCTTCTGAGACTTGATCCTTGTGTATCGGCCGATACCGAGTCCTGATACTAACTATCTGAACTATCTAAGTATCTGTTGTAATATTTACATAATTCCACTTTTTAAATGTTTTATTTTGGTAGAGCAGCGTTCTGTGTTACAAATAAAAACACCGAGCTTGTATGACATTTACTTTACACTCTCTACGGGAGCTTAAATACCGCATTTTTCTGCACGTTGATGCACAATTTCTGTTGAGTTTAACACACTGGAAAATGTGCTTTCACACAGGCTACGTTTCACAAGTTTACATATTAGTTCATGCGTTCTTTTTACATATTTACAGACCTGCCAGCCTTTACGCATTTAATGTAGCAGGTACACATTTAGACATCGAAGTATTGATACGTTTTGTCACTCTAAACCACGCAAAAAGCTGGTGACGCCCGTGAGTTCAGTTGTGCATGTGCAGTATTTAACAGCAAGAGGCAGCAACGTCTAGTCTTCTAAAAAATGGAAAAATGGAGTTTGACCGATCATAGCGCTGGGTTCATCCCCCCGATATCACGTGGGGACGACAAATGCGTAATGTCAGTCTTTTCAAGAGGCCGCAAATCGACAGCAACACAAAACAGGTTTTAATGCTCTGTTTCACCTCCTCTCTCCGCCTGGCTGGTTCCACAGGGGAGGACGGTTTAGCTTCTTTTCGGAGGTAAACGAGCTGGAGCAGGTTTGGAAAGTGGGAATTGGGAATTGAGTTAACTTAACGCAGACCTGCTGACCTTGGGAAAATATGGAACGTTAATAACGTTAGCCTAACATAACCTGATTTACTGGCTTGTTCGCATTTAAGTTGTCAAAATAGTGTTAAGTTACACCAATCAGGCATAACATTCTGACCACCTCCTTGTTTCTACGCTCATTGTCCATTTTATCAGCTCCACTTACTATATAGGTGCACTTTGTAGTTCTACAGTTACAGACTGTAGTCCATCTGTTTCTCTGATACTTTGTTAGCCCCCTTTTACCCTGTTCTTCAGTGGTCAGGACCCCCATGGACCCTCACAGAGCAGGTACTATTTGGGTGGTGGATCATTCTCAGCACTGCAGTAACACTGACATGGTGGTGGTGTGTTGGTGTGTGTTGTGCTGGTATGAGTGGATCAGACACAGCAGTGCTGCTGGAGTTTTTAAACACCTCAGACAACAGCGTCCTGTGGGCAGCGTCCTGTGACCACTGATGAAGGACTAGAAGATGACCAACACAAACTGTGCAGCAGCAGATGAGCTATCGCCTCTGACTTTACATCTACAAGGTGGACTGACAAGGTAGGAGTGTCTAATAGAGTGGACAGTGAGTGGACACAGTGTTTAAAAACTCCAGCAGCACTGCTGTGTCTGATCCACTCAGACCAGCGCAACACACACTAACACACCACCACCACGTCAGTGTTACTGCAGTGCTGAGAATGATCTACCACCCAAATAGTACCTGCTCTATGAGGGTCCATGGGGGTCCTGACCACTGAAGAACAGGGTAAAAGGGGGCTAACAAAGTATCAGAGAAACAGATGGACTACAGTCTGTAACTGTAGAACTACAAAGTGCACCTATATAGTAAGTGGAGCTGATAAAATGGACAATGAGTGTAGAAACAAGGAGGTGGTCAGAATGTTATGCCTGATCAGTGTGTGTGTGTGTGTGTGTGTGTGTGTGTAATTTAATACAATAAATACAACATGAACTTATGAAGTGAATAAGCATGAATGTAGGTTAACAGTGGCTTATTATGCAGAACTGCACCATATTTACCAACTGAAATAAATCTAAAATATTTTTATTGTGCTAATCAGCAGAAACACAGTGGTGTACAGTATCAGTATCAGTATCAGCGCAACAACAACGTTAATTATAATAATTTAACTGAGTTTAATTCAGTCTGATCTAGTATAGAGCCTGAAGTGTGGCACTTCATCATTAACCTTTTTGTTTGTTTGTCTTTCAGCACCACAGGCAGGTGGGAGGGGAGGAGGCAGCGGTGAGGAGAGCGGCGGACCCTCAGAGAGAAGAGCAGGAGAAAAGGTTCTGCTCTGTTGTTGTGTGTTTGTTAGGAAAGATCGACCAATGAAGACGTTTAGGTCAGAGAGCTTCCTGACCGCAGGAGTTTGAGTAAAACAGCCTCAGGATTCACCCTGACTTAACCCACACAGACCACAGCACTGCGGTCAGGGTGTTTCGGCCAGTAAAACTGATTATGACGTTAGAATAAACATAAACAAACATTAATACACTATAATGCCATGTAACATTAGAATAAACACAGTAAAAATGAGGAAGACGGTGAAATTTCATTCCAAAATGCTGGAGTAAATTATTTATAAAGAACAGACAGAAAACAGGTTTAAATCTCTGATAAAGGTTCATATTAATAAACCTTTAAATTAGCATTAATATCATAAAGCACTGATGTTTACGGAGTGTATAAAATCCAAAACAACATTTTAAGTGGTCTATAATGTGTTTGGGAACGAAACCCTTCATGTAGGTTAGAACACAGTTAGAAAACTCACATCGCATTGATTTCTTCAGTTCCATCAGCAGCACCATATTAAAGGGGAATTCCACCCATTTTTCCAAAAATTCCACATAACTCAGTGTGTGAGGTGTAAACAGAGTGATTCAGAGTGGTTTGGTGTGAAATGGTTCAGATGTCTTTACAGTGGTGGTGATAGGAACCAGGGGTCGCCATGACTACAACACAGATATAGACATTTTATTTACCATCCAGAACCACCAGTGAACCTACACGAGTCTTCTGAGTTTATATGAATGTTGATGATGAAAATAGTGGAAAATCTGAAATAATAAGTTTTCTTTGGGGACTATTTTGCCTCACAGCGCCCTGCATGTATCCCTCCACCATGAATGGAGTTTAAGTTCTCTAAACTATCATAAAACAGCGTCTCAGTCATCAGGCAGTGAATTCATAAACATTTACTGTAGTAACTTTCTGTGAGGGAGCTTTTAGAGGTGGACGTCTGGTTCCTATCACCACCACTGTGAACAGTTCTGACTCGGTAAGTTTCTCTAGAACAGCGTTTCACACCAAACCACTCTGCACCACTCTGAACCACTCTGTTTACATCTTAACCACTTCATTATGTGAATTTTGACAAATAGGTGAACGTCCCCTTCAGTGCTGTGCTGATTAGATAATCCTGGTATTGGATGTTTATTTTAGAACAAATGAACACTTTTCTTTATTGTTTTCTCAGTGCTGTTAAAGCAGTAATCCACTGTAGGACGTCTGTAAAGGTATGTAAGGGGCTTATGTGTGTCTCGTTTCACTCGTTCAGAAACGACGGCCACAAGAAGAGCAAAAAGGAGAAAAAGAGCAAAAAGGAGAAGAAGAAGAAAAAGGAGAAGACGCAGCGGCGCAGGAGAGGCTCCTCCTCCGGCCGCGACTCTGAGTCCGACACCGACAGTAAAAGGTAAAGCGTCGTATTGTCTTTGGTCTCTGTCAGTATAAACTCTGTTAACTGTCGGGGGTCTGAGACTCAGTGAATCAGATGAGGAGCCGCTGTGGTGAGGGTCAGGTCTTCCTGCCGTCTGTGGACCTTAATGAGCAGCGTTAGTGTTAGCGATGCTCTGTAATGCGCAGGGTTCAGTGTAGATGAGTGAGGAGTGTAATTCAGCGGTCTGAGCTGTGATGAGCTCATTCCTACTGAAGGGGGCGCTGCTGCTCCAGTGTTCTTCAGCTCCTCTCTGTCTGATCACCATCACACTGATCAGATCAGACGCGCTGCAGTCTGTCTGAGTGGGGTAGAAGGTCAGCAGGTCTGTCCTTCTTCTCAGCGTTAGTCTATAGAGAGAGTTCTTGTTATTATTATTATTATTATTATTATGATGATTATTATTATTACAGTCATATCAGGTATGATGATATCTGTGTGGTGTTTATGGAGACACTCAGATCTTCATCTGTTCTGAACTGCTGGCTGTTCAGAGTTTATTGTCATATTAATGAGCCTGTTTTCTTTAATATTGAAGATCAGGTTTATTTATCAGACGTGAATATTTAAAATTATTAAAGTTATTAAATTTGCATATTACAGCAGCACATTCACAACAGGCTCGTTAATATTAATGAAATGTATCTCTCTCTCACTCTCTCTCTCACCCTCTCTCTCTCTCGCTCTCTCTCTCTCTCTCTCTCTCTCTCTCACTCACTCTCTCTCTCCCTCTCTGTTTTCACTCTGTATCTGTTTTCACTCTCTATCTTTCTCTCTCACCCTCTCACCCCTCCCTCTGTTTTCACTCTATCTCTCTGTTTTCATTCTCTCTCTTTTTCACTCTGTATCTCTCTGTTTTCATTCTCTCTCTTTTTCACTCTGTATCTCTCTCTCTCTCTCTCTCACTTCCTCCCTGTTTTCTCTCTCTCTCCCTCTCTCTCTCTCACTTCCTCCCTCTCTCTTTTCTCTGTATCTCTCTCTCTCTCTCTCTCTCTCTCCCTCTCTCACTTCCTCCCTCTCTGTTTTCTCTCTCTCTCTCCCTCTCTTTCTCACTTCCTCCCTCTGTTTTCTCTCTCTCTCCCTCTCTTTCTCACTTCCTCCCTCTCTGTTCTCTCTCTCTCTCTGTATCTCTCTCTCTCTCTCTGCCCCTCTCTGTTCTCTCTCTCTCTCTCTCCACTCTGTATCTATCTCTCTCTCTCTCTCTCCTCTCTCTCTCTCTCTCTCTCTCAGACTCAGACTGGACCGCAGTGACCGCCGCGGTGTTCATCCATCACGCTGCAGTCAGAGTGGAGCCGCCGCTCCTGACAGCCATTCAGCTCGGGGGTCAAAGGTCAACCGCAGGAGCCCCTCCCCTCCTTCTCAGAACCGCCCCCGTCGCCGCAGCCCCGCCCCCTCACCCAGACCCCGCCGACGCCACGACTCGGATTCATCCTCGGACGGGGGTCGCCGCGGCAACCGACAGTCTCCGCCGCGGAGACGGCGTCACGACACAGACTCGGACGACTGACGGCCAATCGGCCACTGGCTCACCGTCTCAGCCAATCAGAGAGCAGCTACACTCAGAGAGTGTTTGAGTGTCATCACTGTTTGATCAGTCTGTGAAGATCATTCACCGTTTACTGCTGTTTACTGACCATCTGTCCATTCATCTGACAGCAGTTTAGCCCCGCCCACTCACACTGACCTGATAAGGAGCATTTCAGACCAGACTGCTTTTTAACTGAGGCACAGCCAATCAGAACAGAGCTCATTTACATATATCAGTCTTAAAGGCGCAGTAACAGCCTGTTTAACTGTACGGGATGAAGAGAGGCTGGAAATGGTGATTTTACTACATCAAAGCACACAGTGGACTTAATACAATAACAAATAAAATAAAGCCTATGATCTCTAAATAATTTAATCCAAATTATTTCATTCTATTGGGAAATAATTTAGCCTGTTTGAAGAAATGATGCTCTAAACAAGCCAAATATTCTGACAATCAGGATCATTTTATTGCACTTCTCACTTAAAACAAGCAGAAATGTCTAGAACTGTGTTGGCTGTTCATATAATCTTCCTAAAACAGGCTCATCATGAGAAATATTACATATATTCACAAGATTAAGAGAATCAGAATCTCTGTCTCTGCTTAAGAACGTTTTACTCATTTGAACCCATTTGTTTCAGAGTGGTTTGGTGTGAAACGCTCTGTTCTAGATAAACTTACCGAGTCAGAACTGTTCACAGTGGTGGTGATAGGAACCAGACGTCCACCTCTAAAAGCTCCCTCACAGAAAGTTCCTACATGAAATGGTTATGAATTCACTGCCTGATGACTGAGACACTGTTTTATGATAGTTTAGAGAACTTAAACTCCATTCATGGTGGAGGGATACATGCAGGGCGCTGTGAGGCAAAATAGTCCCCAAAGAAAACTTATTATTTCAGATTTTCCACTATTTTCATCATCAACATTCATATAAACTCAGAAGACTCGTGTAGGTTCACTGGTGGTTCTGGATAGTAAATAAAATGTCTATATTTGTGTTGTAGTCATGGCGACCCCTGGTTCCTATCACCACCACTGTAAAGACATCTGAACCATTTCACACCAAACCACTCTGAATCTCTCTGATTACACCTCACACACTGAGTATTGTATTAAATTGTAAAATCAGTGTAGTTCCTCTTTCTGAGGGTGTAGGTCAGGTGCAGGCTGGGACCTGTCGGCGTATCAGTGATATGGACTCTGAGCTGATGAAGACGGTCAGGGTCCTGTTGGTCTTCTGTTTTGCCTTAAAGCAGCCTGAAGGGATGTGTATTGATACACCGGGCTGATTTACGGTTGCCTGTAAATGAGTTTTGTAATTCCTCAGTGAAATAAATGTGGATGTGGCCAGTCGGACTGTTGATGAGCTCCACCCTGCAGTGAGCTCAGGGGTCTGTACTGTGCAGATCATGCTGTTTTTAAAGGACTCGTATCACAGAAAACTGAATTTTCCTCAGTCTGTTTTTAATAAAAGAGTTTGATGTGTAAATGTTGTTTAAAATTTTTGTAATGTCACAAAAAAACAGCTCATTTACATATATTTACATATATCCACCTATTCATAGTGTTCGATAGCCCCATTAAGAAGGACTGCGTCTCCCTGTTGGTGGGTGAGCTGTAACTCTGTCTCATCACCGTTACTGCAGATACGGCCCTGCAGGAGGATCAACACCAACAACACTGACCAGAATCACCACAAACACATGGACAGATATGTGGACGCTTTAGATTCAGTCTCCAGAAACACCATGAGGAGAAGATCAGCTGATTGGTGGATCCGTATGACCTGCACATCTCCAGAGTTCAGACCATTCCAGTGTGAGATTTTATAAACACTAATAAAAGAGGCTCCAAAACTGACAAAGCTCTTAATAATAAACTCACACACAGAAATAAAGATGAAGCTTCTTATTCACCAGATTCTCATCTGGAGTTCACGTTCCACCTTAAATGGAGCTGCAGTTACACTGAGGCGCCTTAAACGGAGAACTGATTTAGAAAAAGACACTGGCGAACAAGAAGCAACATCAGCTTACATTAATGAATATCAGTTTACCTCAGTAACTGCATTAACTTACCTCAATAAATACCTCTATAAATGTGTTAATTTACCTCAATAATTACATTAATTTACCTCAATAATTACATTAATTTACCTCAATAAATGTATTAATTTACCTCAATAATTACATTAATTTACCTCAATAATTACATTAATTTACCTCAATAAATGTGTTATTTACCTCAATAAATGCATTAATTTACCTTAATAATTACATTAATTTACCTCAATAAATGTATTAATTTACCTCAATAATTACATTAATTTACCTCAATAAATGTGTTATTTACCTCAATAAATGTTAATTTACCTCAATAATAATAATTACCTCATAATTAATTTACCTCAATAAATGTATTAATTTACCTCAATAATTACATTAATTTACCTCAATAAATGTATTAATTTACCTCAATAATTACATTAATTTACCTCAATAATGTCATTAATTTACCTCAATAAATGTCATTAATTTACCTCAATAATTACATTAATTTACCTCAATAAATGTATTAATTTACCTCAATAATTAATTTACCTCAATAAATGTATTAATTTACCTCAATAATTACATTAATTTACCTCAATAAATGTATTAATTTACCTCAATAATTACATTAATTTACCTCAATAAATGCATTAATTTACCTCAATAAATGTATTAATTTACCTCAATAATTGCATTAATTTACCTCAATAAATGCATTAATTTACCTCAATAATTACATTAATTTACCTCAATAATTAAATTAATTTACCTCAATGTGTTAATTTACCTCAATAATTAAATTAATTTACCTCAATAAATGTGTTAATTTACCTCAATAATTAAATTAATTTACCTCAATAATTAAATTCATTAATTTTATTTACCTCAATAATTACATTAATTTACCTCAATAAATGTGTTAATTTACCTCAATAATTACATTAATTTACCTCAATAAATGTGTTAATTTACCTCAATAATTAAATTAATTTACATCAATAAATGTGTTAATTTACCTCAATAATTACATTAATTTACCTCAATAAATGTGTTAATTTACCTCAATAATTAAATTAATTTACATCAATAAATGTGTTAATTTACCCCAATAAATTAATTACTTTACCTCAATAATTAAATGTGTTAATTTACCTCAATAATTAAATTAATTTACCTCAATAAATGTCATTAATTTACCTCAATAATTACATTAATTTACCTCAATAAATGTGTTTAATTTACCTCAATAATTAAATTAATTTACCTCAATAAATGTGTTAATTTACCTCAATAATTACATTAATTTACCTCAATAATTAAATTAATTTACCTCAATGTGTTAATTTACCTCAATAATTAAATTAATTTACCTCAATAAATTAATTACTTTACCTCAATAGTTAATTTAACTAAAAAATGCTTCTTAATCAAAGAACACCTCAGACTCTCCCTTGGAGATGTTTAATGAACAGTTAACGTCCCAAACCACACACTTCTGTACCTCACCTGCTGCACTACTGAGTGCACTTCTGACTGTCCTACACTATTTTTACACACTATTTCAGGAGCTGGTCTGCGGTTTGGGACACAACAGATCAAATAAAACCACTCAAATATCAGTCAATACGCTTTAACAATGAGAACCGAGTATGAACTGATTATCTCCACGTTTTTCCTGCTTTTGCCGGGTCGGTTAGGCTTTATTACCTCACACCTGCCACTGCGCTGCTGACTGGACCTGCCCACCAACATGGTGGCAGCGTGACTGTGTGATGTTATCCTACAGGAGTTAAGCTCCGCCCACTCACACTGAAGTTATAAGGAGTGTTTCAGCTCTGATTGCTTTCTGATTGAGGCACAACCAATCAGAACAGAGCACATTTACATACATCAATGTTGAAAGCACAGTAACAGAAACCAGAACAAAGAGAGAATGAAAAATGAAAATAATAAATATATATATATATATATATATATATATATATATAATATATATATACATATAAAACACTGAAAAGAGTAACAGGCCACACTTTCAGCTGAGCTGATAATTAAAGGGAGGACCTGGAAACAAAGTTTATGTTTTAATTCATAGCAGAGATGAATAAAACGCTTCTTTAATAAAAAAATAATGACTAATTTTGTTCAAATATGTTTGAAATTGTTGGGAAAAGCCAAACTGCTCCACTGTGGCTGCTCTCCACTATAATAAACATGTGCTGATGCACAAATTCCTTCTAATCTGGTTTTATTAGATCTCAGTGCAGCTTCTGATATTGTTGATTTTACTCCAGCGTCTCGAACGCTGTGTCGGCCTCTCAGGCTGTTTTAGAATGGGTTAAATCATATTTAAGTAACAGGCAGTTCAGGGTTTCAATGGGAAATCATTCATCAAAAAGATCTGGAGTTTCTTGTGGAGTCCCTCAGGGTTCAGTTTTAGGGCCTTTGCTTTTCTCTTTGTACATGCTGCCTCTAGGTGACGTCATTAGGAAGCATAGTATACATTTTCATAGCTATGCTGACGAAACCCAGCTATACATTTCTGTTCCTTCAGAAAAGACGTGATCTCAGATCTGCAGATACTGACCTTCTGCAAACACCAGCATGAAAAGTGCTAGATAAATAAAAACTATTACTATTATTATTACTACTATTATTAACAAAGTGAAGTGAGAAGGACGAGGCGACGAGTCCAGGTTTACTCTGATTTCTTTAATTACAGTGCTTTCCTGTCAAAATGAAAGGCAAGATAAGTTTACATTAAAAAACATTCATGTTAATAAGTCACACTATAAGACAAACTTTGCTAGGAGAATCATATTTATATGTACTTCGTCTCAATGCGAGCGATCAGTGTCCATGAAACAGGCTGATGAGGACAGTAGAGACACTAGTGGACTCGTTCCGTTGGTGTGGGTTCACATCGTCACTCAAAGTGTACATTTCCTTTCGCAACAGTCAAACTCGATGTGCATGGACCTTTTATTAATCATCATTTCATCGTAAACCAGCAGAGTCTCAGAACAGTACGTCCGTCCGCTACGGAGCTCACAGCAGAACCCCTCCGCGGAACCGCAAAGGCACCAAGAGTTCAAACATCACCGTATTCAAAAATATAGATATACGAAGCTCATACGCGGTTATATTGCTGTACCATGCCACGATTAACCCTCCCACTTCAGAGCAGCCAGCACTGCATCAAACAGAGACTAACTCAGACGCATTCAGGGGGGCTGGTTCTGTTACACGCTGAAGGAACACTCCAGGGTTCTCCACCTGATCTCTGCAGAACCGGCACAGTCACGACTATTAGAGGAGTTTCCAGTAAAGTTTCCAGTTTCCAACGGTTTCACAATCGGATAGCAAGTTAAGGTTTTTGATATGCAAATTAGTTTCTCTTTAAAGTTATACACTCTCATAATTAAGAACTGAACTGTTCTCCACTAGAGGGCAGCACAGAGTCTGCGTCTTACGGTTTGGTCAAGCTTTATTATCTGTCAGTTGTTTTTATTATTACTACTATTATTCGTGTGTCAGCAAACACAGAAAACATTTCACAGGGAAAAACACTCGACACGACGGAGTTACGGAGTTTAGTCAACTCAAAAACACGACCAGAAGGCTTTACACTGGAGACGAGCCCAACAGTCGCAAACTGGTAAAAAATCATCCAGTAAATGAGTTTTTAATGAGCCAGTTTGCTTCCCTGTAACGTTATACGTTCCCACGTTTGAGAACCACAGACGTCTGAACTCTGTTCTCCACCAGGGGGCAGCGCAGAGCCTTTGTCTTACGATTTGGTCAGGCTTTCTCATCCGTTTCGTTGCTATAAAAATAATAATCATGATAATATCACAGGAAAAACACTCAAAAAAAACCCCACAAACGACTGAATTCCGAAGTTTTACAGAAGAGTAAACAGTCAACTCAAAAACACAACCAGAAGACTTTAGACGAGAAACGAATCAAACACCAAAGTGTAAAAAAGTCCAGTAATTAAGAGTTTTAATGAGCCAGTTTGCTTCCCTGTAATATTATACATTCTCACGTTTGAGAACCACGAGACGTCTGAACTCTTCTCTCCACCAGGGGGCAGCGCAGAGCTGCGTCTTACGTTTCGGTCTGCGCTTCTAACGTGTTCAGTCCAGTAAAGGAAGCAGAAAGACTCCTGCAGCCGTCCAAACAGTACAGAGCTCAGCTACAGCGCAGAGGACGAGTCGCCCAATAACATTTTAGACTCACCCAGACTTACTGGAACAAAACTTCATCATTTAGTGAATTCATCAGATCTGCTCTCAGCGAACTTCACCGACCTGTTATCCAGCTAAAGCGTACGAGGCGAGACGAGTCAGGATGTAGCTGAAGAAACAGATGGTCAGCACTTTTCTATCTTAAAGACTTCAGACTGGCTGCCTTTCTCTGTGATATTTTCAGCCAAGATCAAGATCAGGGATCAACCTGGTCCAACGAAACTCCTCTGAAGTCTGACTGTGACGGCCGTCGCTGACCGCGGCCGGGCTGGAGGACAGTGGAGTGTTCCCGGCGTGACCTACAGGCATGCTGCTGCTGTTAGCGGTGCTCTGATTCACACATGCATTCAGAAAACACGAAGCACAGCAATCTGAACGGGCTTTCGCCCTTAAACAGGTCCATACAGTCCAGGCTCAGGCTTAATCTGGAGCTGAGAAACAGGGCTTTAGAGCTGGACCGGCTCCAACACACCTGACTTAGAGACGAGCTAATCGGAGAGAGGCAAACGTTCCAGGAGTGGAGAGTAAAAAGGGTAGGTTAGGGCTGCTCCATATACCGGCTGTTAGTCGTGATGTTGGCGATGCTGCAGTGTGAAGTAAATGGGAAACACTTTACTGGAACTCAGTGACAGAACAACGCTGTAAACATGTTATAGAGGATGTTATGTGCCGTTACTGACTGATTTTGTTCAGTATATAACAGTGTAATACCCGTCACTGGCGTAAGGTTTAACGTCATGCTGAATGTACTCTAATTAGCTGTTATATTACTTGCCCTAACATCCCATGACAGCATATAACATCTGCCATGACATGTTTACGTAGCAGCGTTGAGGTAAAAAGCACAATCCTCGACGGTCACTTCCAGAAGACTTTCTCTGGCCGTCTGACGAATCAAGGACATCATTTTGGTCAAAATAACGCAGGCTGGTCCTTAACTGTCACATCACGTCAACATGTCAATCTATGTCGCATTATAACCTCCACGTGCTGCTCTGTCCATGTCGTGCAGCCTTTAATGTAAACAAAGCCCCTGCTGAACCGAACCGAAGCCCTGGACCTGTGAGCACTTCTGCACTGACCTGTTTCTCTTGTTAAAGAAGGCAAAGCATGATTTAACCTGAGACACTAAGACCGACCCACCGACCCCCCCCACCCCCCCGCCCACCCACCCACACGCTAAAGCGAAAAGAAAAGCTGTTAAAGCGACAGAACTGAGACAAATTCACCCCAAACGCAGCCGATCAGCCTCGGGTTCAGCTCAGAATCAGCAGATCGTTCTTAAAAGCTTTTTATGGGAATCTTAAAATTAGCCAATATTCATATTTAACAGATTAGATCATCTGTGATGTATTTACTGTAGGAGAACGTTAGGCGACACTGGGTAATTTGTATTTTATATATCTGACAATTTTATGATGTATTTATGTATTTAGCACAACGTTTAGGTGACACTGGGTAATTTATATTTCACATATTTGATATTTTATGATGTATTTACTGTAGGAGGATGTTTAGGCGATGCTGGGTTACTGCGCTACTATATCTGCACTTTATTGCGTTTATAATCTTATAAAAATAAACGTATTACTCTGTAAGTTTATGCGCCTCCAATATCTGCGTCTTATAAAAGTTTATGCATCAGATCTGCGCATGACGTCTCGCTTTTGCCCATATTTACAGATAACAGTGTCTTAAAAACCACGTAAGCAAGCCGAATAGAGATTTGAGAGAACTGTTCACATGCTTTGACAGTTTAGGCATGCAGTTAGCATCATGCTAATCAGCTAACATGCTAATAAGCTAACGAGCTTTTCAGTACATTAGCTACAGCAGCCTCGTAGCTGATCGACCACATCGAAAGGGAGGAAACCGGGTGAACTTGTGAACTACCGCTTTAATCTATGCTGGGAGGCTCATTCCAGTTCCCTGTGCGTGGCTTTACTGCAGTAATGGCACAGAATGAACGGCTCCATCAGGTTTCTTGACGGAACGTTGTTCCGTCGCACATGCTAACGATGCTAACAAGCCAGCAGGCGCCAATTAGCGTGCTACCATCTGATTGATGTTGTTCGCCGTTAGCGGCCTCAGCATTGCTGATACTGACTGAACCTTTCTAGTAAAGCTAGGCCATGCTGAGTTTGTGTGTAGCACTAATTAGTGGTTCCCCCGTTCTAAGCAGAACCCCTAAACGTTCTAGGTAGTGTGTGTGCGCGTGTGCCCGCGCTGTCTGGACTTGTTGAGTTTATCTTGAGACCGACGAAACCTCTTTGTACAGTACGTTTAACGTTTAACTCGCGATGCGCAGACAGCGACCCAGAGACGAAAGCTATTGGAAGTGACCCCCCCAGACCCCCACCGAACCCCCCCCCACCCAAAAAAAAAGCCCTTAACCCTACGATTCACCTACCTCTGACTCGAATGATTAAATAAAACACGAAAGAGGAAGAAAAGGAAAAGCTGATTACAACAACAATAATAATAACAATATATATATTGCATAAGAGTGCTCCAAAAGCTGCCTCACAACAAAAACATAACTATTTACATTAAATATGAGAGCGAGGGGCTCTTACTTTACTGTAACCAGGTATGAGCGGGAGAGCAGCTTCCAGCACTTTTCCTCTTTAAAAGAAAAACAAAGAAACACGAGGTTTCTGCGAGATGAGAAGTAAAGCCTGTTGGAGGACGTGGTCTAAAAGGAAAGAGGGGATAACCCCAGAAGAGGAAGAAGGGGAGGAGGAGGAGGAGGAGGAGGAGTGTGGCGGCGAGGTGGAGATCATTTCTGGTTTTTGAGCTGGTTGGAGAGCCAGTCCAGTCCCTCGTACAGGCCGTCCCCGGAGGTGGCGCAGGTGGCCTGGATGTACCAGTTCCTGTGGCGGAGGGAGTGCAGCCCCAGCTTGTCCGTGATCTCCGCAGCGTTCATGGCGTTCGGCAGATCCTGGGAGACAACAGAGACCGTCAGCGTTCGTCTCCTCACTGTAAACGTTCTGAATGCACCTCTGTTTAACCTCTCTTTAGGTTTTAAGATCTGACAGGTCAAGGTAACGTTTAGACAGCCTGTAACTGTTTCAGATGAGTTTAACTTCTCGTTTCTCCTTTTTATTTAGTTTTATTATCATCATCATCATTATTATTAGTAGTAATATTAAGACTATTTTATTGTAATATTTTATTGCACCTGTTTGATCAGATCTTAATTTTAGCTGTTATTTTACATTTTTTGTTTTTTATTAATCCTTTTTGCTGTGATGATTTTCATTTGTTTAACTTGGTAAATTTCATTTCAACTTTTTCAATTCCTTGTAATTTGCCTGGCTACGCTGTAAATGAGGGTCAGCCTCAATGTCCTTCAGAGTTCAAATAAGGGTTGACTGAGTAACTGAAGATAAGATTTCTCACCAATTCGTATTACAGAAGCAAATCTGATCTTAATTTAGGAATCTGGTCTTACAGCATCTGATGTTTGTGTGATGCTGTTTTCTTATCTGGAGTTCATGATGAGATTATGAAGTTAGGAACTGTTATTCCCTAATAGATACTATACTGTCCGAAATTCAGTCCGTACTGAAGTCGTCATGGAGACTGAACGGCTCAGATTTCAGGGTGAGGATGTTTCTGTAATTCGGCTCCTGGTTCCTCAGCGTTTAGAAGTACCTGTTTGTTGGCGAACACCAGCAGCACAGCTTCTCTCAGCTCGTCCTCCGCCAGCATCCTCATCAGCTCCTCCCGCGCCTCGTTCACTCGCTCTCTGTCGTTACTGTCCACCACGAAGATCAGACCTGACCACACACACACACCCCAAAACAAGACCATTAATACACTCATACGATAAACCGGTCAAGTGCACGACAAGAGCGTCCAAACACGCAGTGCAGTCCTGGAACTGGTTTCTGAGTATGAAACATATGGACTACATCAGGGGTCTGTAATTAAAATTCAATAAGGTCCAGTTAGAGGAAATATCATTAAACAAAGGTCCAGAACATCATAATGTCTGACCTGCATCATGACTCAGTGCCATATACTGTTTACTGAAGTAGCCTAGTAGGTATATCAACATCTTATACAGTCGACAACTGAATATCAAATCAAATACAGTTCAGTCAAATTTCAACCTTTATTGTCAGTTTTCTTTTTAAAATGAAATAACTTCCCTCTGACTCACTTTCTTCTCTGACTGCTGTGTCTCGCCTCGTCCCTCCCCTGTGTGTGCGTCACTCACTCGAGTCTCAGTGCTCATCGTAATGCACAAATCTGATTGGCTGAAGAGCGTCACGTGATATTTACAACGCATGTGATTGGTCTGTGTGTCTCCCAGGCCACTAAACTGGTACCGTAAAGGCTAGTAAAGTTACACTGATTAAAACAGGACCACCCGGCGAACTGAAATAATTCTCCATAGTTTATCACTTATAGGTCCAGGTCCGCATAGAACAGCGTCTGGGTCCAGACTCGGACCGTGGTCCGCCTATTAGTGACCTCTGGACTACATTAAGTAAATTAACACTAAAAATGAAAGCACAACCAGCATTAAAACTATGAGGCTGAAGTCAGCTTCTTGTTCGAATTCCTCTGCTCCACCTTAAATGGTGCAGCAGTTCCATTCTGGTGCTGAAGACACCAGCAGGAGGAGACGAGGAAAGTTCGGTTCAGGTTCATTTTTATACTTTTGTAAATTCAATGAAATAAAGTGTTTATCATCTCATCACGGCTGGTATCAGTTTACTACCTCTTCAAAACCGGCTGTTTTCCAGCTGTAAGATAGGAGCTGAAGGCCAGGCTAGAAACGTTAGCTGAGCTAACTTACCGTTAGCATCTGTCTGTCTACATAAAAGACTGGCTGCCTTTCTCGGTGCAAATTTCAGGCCACATGTGGTCTACTGTGGCTTTAACTGGCCTCAATACGGCTTTAATTACTGTAGTGATGGTAAAATGCTGAGAGCTGTGGTTCTGAATTTTTGGACGGCCTTTATAGAAGACCGTTCTCCAGGCCCAACATGTAAAGATATGAACATGTAAAATACTGGTTATCAATACAGGCCCAGAATTCCCAACAGGTGCATCTTTACTTTAATTAATGTTTAATGTTACAAATAAAAAACAGTAAAACTGCCTCATGTCTCTGTGAACTGGGTTCTTCCTCAAAACCCGCTACAGTAAAATGTCTTGGCTCTTAAACAACGACTCATTCATATAAAGAACAGTGAGGGAAACCCAGTTCTCCACGATACAGACCCTTTAATGAACATTACAGATCAAACCCAAATCTGTCTTTTTGTACTTTTCAGGTGTTTAATAATAATAATAAGAACGAGATGAAGATAAACGAACTCTTACCCTGCGTGTTCTGGAAATAATGACGCCACAACGGTCGAATCTTGTCCTGGCCGCCGACGTCCCACACGGTGAAGCTGATGTTCTTGTACTCTACGGTTTCAACGTTAAAGCCTGAAACACAGCAAACGCAGCCGATCAGTTAAAACATCAGACTCAACTACTGATTTACTGGATCTGTGTGTGTATATATATATATATATATATATATATATATATATATATATATATAGAATATGTAGAACCCTGCACAGGTGAGCACCCTACACTGTACCAATAGGAGTCCTTGGGCAAGACTCCCAACACCAGAGCCGGTTTATGAAGCCACTTCCCATTTCCCCCATTATATCAAAAACAGGACTGCTAAACAGCAGAGGGTGCCCACGAGCAAGTCCTCAAGGAAAGAGGGTAAATGGAGCTAAACAGCTAAAAACGAACAGTTAAAATAGTTTCTAATCACTGAACGAGAATTTTCCTTTAATTGTAGAAAGGAAGGATGGATTTCACTAAAAAGCAAAGAAAACTCTCCTGTAAGTTTCCTTTTTCTACAGTAAACAGGTTTTGGGCAGCAGGACGCTAACATTACTGTTACTGAGTGCTGATTGGTTGGCGAGCGGAGCAGCTCATTGGCTGTTCGCGCTCACTGACGTCATGAACGTCCATGAGGCGCCGTTTTAAACTCCTATAACTCGAGTTTAAAAGCTCTTAAAAATATAACAGCAGTGTTAGAATGTTTTATGCTGCTCTGTGTTCAGGATATGATTGAATTCTTTCACATTAAAAATGTTTCAGCATTTATAAACTATGATTTTGCTCAAATGCTCCATATCAACCCATTCATTCTGGACTCACTCGGGAGCGCCCTCTAGTGTCTGAGAAACCCGGAAGACACTGCAGAGTGGAAATTCTCCTCTCTACAAGTTCTCTGCCTACACTACCTTCACCTACCTGTGTAGTGATCTCACTGTGAGTCGCTCTGGATAAGAGCGTCTCCCAAAAGCCTTTGATGTAAATGATGCACAGGGCCGGACGCTCAGCTGATGAGTAACGGTCATGTAAACACTGTGATTAATAATTTGTCTCGTTCCTTGTTTGAAACATATTGGCTGATTAGCCTCTTATTCACTGGCTATGTTCACTGTATCTACACTGACTGTACCGTGGAACCAACACTCAGACAAACGTCTACAGTTACGCAGAATCGTGTGTGGAGCCGAAGAAAGCTACAGGCTTCACCGTGAAACACTCACTGTGGCAGGACACCAGCTAAAAACACCAGAATTAGCCACACAGCTAACTAATAAACAGACACTGCTCAGCGCTGCCCTCTGAGCGTCTTACAGAACCAAGTCAGAACTTAGTTCTGTGTTCATAATTCATATAGAGTCTCTATAAACACACTGACTGCTGATCTGGTGATTAGGTGATCATGTAATAACTGTGGCAGACCTTCTGATACTGGCTTTATTAGAGATGATCATTCGGAGGTGGTAGGACTGAGTGGTCCTCAGGGCCCTGCAGACGGTCTCTGGATCAGAACACAATCACATTTTTGCTCTGTGCGCTGACGTGGGCCAGTGGACCGGACTGAGACCCGCCGAGATAAAGAGGAACGTGGGAAGGTTGAGAACGGGGTTATACGGTATAATATTAAAACAAACTATTTATTAACTCAATATTGTCCGATATTATCGATTATCAGAATTTCTCTCTGGTTAAAATCGTTACTGGTATCGATATCTTGGTATCGGTCGGTCCCTGATCAGACAGAGTCCGTATCGTCAGGGCAGCACTGAGGGGCGCTGAAAGATCAACACACGTTCTTGCGAAGGGAGCCGAGCGGCTGAGTGACTCACCGATGGTGGGAATGGTGGTGACGATCTCTCCGAGCTTCAGCTTGTACAGGATGGTGGTCTTCCCGGCAGCATCCAGTCCCACCATCAGGATCCTCATCTCCTTCTTCCCGAAGGCCTTGAACAGGTTGGCGAAGATGTTGCCCATTTTTCACAGACGTCGTGGACACGCCGAGCTGGGAACAGAACGGAGAGCCGGGTTATTCACCTGACCGGAGCTATACAGCGCTTAGCTCCGCCCACACGGTCTGATTGGCTGTTCAGCCCACAGTGTTATATCTGACAGTTCTTCACCAAACAGATCATTTCGCCAAACGATGGCAGCAAAGCAACAACGATGGACGCGTTTTAAACAAAGGAAACAACTTTAAAAACACTGTGTAAGCGACGTTCAGAGCTTCAGCGCTACTTTAGTTGCTTGAAACCTACATGAAACATGAAGTTGCGCGAGCTGTGTCATGTAAAGCGCTCTGCCACATAAAAACCATAAACACTGCGAATGTGTAAACTACGCCTCAGGAGTGACTTCATACAACAAGAACGGCACAGCGGATCAAAACACCAGCTGCTAGAGCGGATAACTAGTGGAGTAACTGAATGGGTGGCGCGCAACTGTTTTTGAACTGCTTCATGTAGCTGTCAAGCTGCACAGAAATGATGCTGCAGGCAACTCAAAACATGCAACTAGTTGCATTAAAGTTTCACCGTGTAAAGCCAGACATTAGTTTTCCAGGTGTTTACGACTCCGTATTGGAGTATTGGAAAAAATATCACTACTCTGGAAAATTAAAGGGCCGCAGATTCAGGTTAAACTGATCCGTATTGATCGGTTCTTATATTGATATACTGACACTGAACAAGGTTAAGAACTAAACAGGGAGAAAAACTGAAAGGAAAGGGAACCAAACAGGGAGGCAGGTTTACTGAGCAGGTAAGGAGGAGCGGGTAAAGCTAAAGCTCCCCTCAGCTCACCTGGACCATCTACCTGCCCAGAACACTCACATCACGACCTGTTAGAGAACTAAACGGTCAGAATACCTGAAACGGCCCACTGAGCGACTCTACGCTGATAAAACAGCCGATCTGTGGGTTTTACTGCTCAGTCGGCTTCTCTTTCACCAGAGGCTGACTGGAATCTTCAGTTCCACCTTAAACGGTGCAGCAGGTCCACTGTGGCCCCTTAGACCCTCTAACAAACCCGCCGCAGTATTTAAGGTGGAACGGAGAGGTTTCTATCAGCGGCCCCCTTTACTGCTGCCCCTCGGACCCTCTAACAAACCCGCCGCAGTATTTAAGGTGGAACGGAGAGGTTTCTATCAGCGGCTCTGTTACTGCCGCCCCTCGGACCCTCTAATGGACCCGCCGCGGTATTTAAGGTGGAGCGGAGAGGATTTAAGGTGGACCGGAGAGGATTTGAGGTGGAGCGGAGAGGATTTAAGGTGGACCGGAGAGGATTTGAGGTGGAGCGGAGAGGTTTTAACGAGGACCGGAGAGGATTTAAGGTGGAGCGTAGAGGATTTAAGGTGGACCGGAGAGGTTTCTATCAGCCGCTCTGTTACTGCGGCCCCTCGGTCCCTCTAATGGACCCGCGGCGGTATTTAAGGTGGACCGGAGAGGTTTTGAGGTGGACCGGAGAGGTTTTAAGGTGGAGCGGAGAGGTTTTAAGGTGGACCGGAGAGCTTTCTTTGTCGCTGAGCGAACAGCGGGGACAGAGTCGATTAAGCGGCGCTCTCCTCGGTTTCTCAGAGCCACGCCGCCCCGCAGCGCCTCCCCGCGCCGTGTGCTCCGTGCCTGCGCCGCGCCGCGGAGCTCTGGTCGGGATTTAAGATGGTTTTCTTACTCTTCAGTTTGTTCCTCCAACTCCGAGGCGTCTCCTTCCTCAAGATGGCGGTGTTCCGGCCACGTCAGGGACTCTTTCGTCACTTCCGTTCAGAAAACGCTGCAGCTAGACTGTGATAAAAGTCAGGGCTTTTATTTTGCTTTATATACGACAAAAGTCTTGTTCAAATTTTTTGTACAAAGCCACGAAAAATAAAAAAATATAATAAAAAAATGTTAGTACATATTTTATTTTTAAATAAATGAAATAAATAAAATAGCATGAAATAAAGGAGATAATTGATTAGTGCCATAACACATTTTGAAATACAGAATTGGTTCTAAGTGAGCTAAATGTAATTTATGAAGGGGAAAAATGTGTCTATAAAATCTGTGATTTCAATTTTCAAATGCATTAAAAGGAGCTACTGCTTGTATAAATCTTAAAAACTATATTGTATGAAAGTCAAATCATATATTTAAATAAATGCTATTATTAATCAATTGTATGAGCCATTTTTCTATAAACGTACGCATTTTTACAGCAAGACTCACCAAAAGATCTAAAATATATATATTTTTTCAATGGTAAGCAACAATGCTTTTGATGAAAACATAAATTATCCGATCAGCTCGTGGATAAAAGTGTGGTCGTCGATCTGGGCGTCCCTGGATTCACAGAGAAGCACAGTAAACACCACCTTTTCGTGGCCGGTATTTCCTTACAGTACAGATCATAACTAACGGGTTTTGATTTAGATGATTTAAAACAGGTTCGTGTTCATCTGACATTCGACATCAACTGAGAAAACAAGGAAACTGTAGTTTTAAGTGACAGGGGCCTCTTTAAAGCTGCAGCTGGTACAGGTTTATGAACGCTGGGATTATTTATTTATTTTATTTTAATTATTGAGACTAATGATTATTTATTAATTAATACAATTATTACTAACTAATTTAATTTAATTTTATACTTCATGTTACTCATCAGGACTGTCAGCTGATCAGTTATACAGCTAACTACGTCACTCTGACCTGCTCTCTCTGCTGTGTTCACTGAGTGATTACAGTCTCGGTGAGTCTCCCCCTCTCTCTCTCTCTCTCTCTCTCTATCTCTCTCTCTCTCTCCCTCTCTGTCCCTCTTTCTCTCTCTCTCTGTCCCTCTCTCTCTCTCCCTCTCTCTCTCTCTCTCTCTCTCTGTCCTCTGTCCCTCTCTCTCTCTCTCTCTCTCTGTCCCTCTGTCCCTCTCTCTCTCTCTCTCTCTCTCTCTCTCTCTCTCTCTCTCTCTCCCTCTCTCTGGGCTGTTAAACAGCTGTTAGCCGCTCCGTGTTGTGAGTCTTGTGCTCACAAAAGCACAGATTCATGCTCTGAGCGCGGTGGTGTTGCCAGAGAGAGAGTAAAGGGCAGAAATCTGGCTGTGAATCAGGTGTTCTCACGGCCGGGGGAGCCAGTCTGAGGGAGGAGGCCACAGCCCCGGACCCCCGGCACCTCCCCCCTGCCACAAAGACCCCTGTGTACCCGAACACTGCAGGTGCTCGGTCAGACTGGGCCCTCCTTCAGAAACACGGACTTCAAAACGGGCTGTGACAGAAGATTAATGCTGACGGGCTGATCTGCCACTGCCCAGGCCTTTATTTATTTATTTATTTATTTATTAAACCAGTCCAGTGGTATAGACCGAATCGGAATGTCTGCAATGACCTGTTTTAGTTGAACGCAGCTCAGTTTACAGCACAGTTTACAACAAACTCAAACTCGACAGGCTAAACGCTGGTAATAGCTGTACCGTCTTGTTCTGTTGGAGCTGTAATATGAAATATACCCGAGCATGTAATGGTTTCACTGGTGTTTACTGACGTTTTTCCTGTTCTCCAGCTTTCCAAAGCAGGTGGAGCTGCTATATACTGTCTATATATTGCCATGTGTCAAACACAAGTCAGGCCCTCGGTTACGATCCCATTCGGCCCGCAAAACTATTTCAATTTCTATTAATATTAGCCCATTTGACCCTGAGCTGCACTACAGTTCCCAGCATGCACTGAAGCATAATGTGCACTCTGGCTTCCTTCAACCAGCAACAATCTAGGGCCCATATGTCAAACACAGGACCCACGAAGCACAATCCTATCCGGCCTGGGGAAGTATTTTAATTTTTTATTAATATTTACCCGTTTCATCGTGCTCTGCACTCCAATGTTGGTCCCCCTTTGCAGCTCTAACAGCTTCCACTCTTCTGGGAAGCTTCTACAGATGTTGGAGAGAGTCTTTGGGAATTTGTGTCCATTCAGTCTAAAGAGCATCTGTGAGGTCAGACGCTGATGTTGGACGAGAGGGTCTGGCTCACAATCTCCGCTCTAGTTCATCCCAAAGGTGGTCAGTGTGGTTGAGGTCAGGGCTCTGTGCAGGCCACTGGAGTTCCTCCACACCAAACTGGTCACTCCATGTCTTTATGGAGCTGCTTTGTGGCTCAGGGGCTCAGTCATGCTGGAACAGGAAAGGCTCTTCCCCAAACTGCTGACACAAAGCTGGAAGCAGATAACTGTGTAAAATGTCTTTGTGCTGCAGCATCAACATCACCCTTCACTGGAACTGAGAGCCCAAACCCTGAAAAACAGCCCCGCCCATCATCCTAACGGTAACGTTCTCCTGACATCCACCAAACCCAGATTCACCATCAGACTGACAGATAGAGAAGCTGATTCATCACTCCAGAGAACACGGTTCCACTGCTCCAGAGTCCAGTGGCGGCGCTTTGCACCACTCCAGCCAACGCTTGGCATTGAGCATAGTGATCCTAGGCTTTTGTCGCCTACAGGCCAAAGTTAAAATGCACCACACTGGAATTTGATGATCTACACCAGAGGGAGGTTAAAGGGGTGTTCTGGCCTAAAACGAGAGTTTAGTATGTTGTTTGATGGGCTACACAGTGTTTTATACTCATGGAGTATCAAAGTATTATAAAACAAAGAAACTTTTCATTGAAACATGTGTCTGTATATTTTCTCTCCTCCTGTGATGAGACAGAACCTACACAAGTCTTCTGAATCTTTATGGAATGTTGATGATGGAAAATAGTGGAAAATCTGAAATAATAAGTTTTCTTTGGGGACTATTTTGCCTCACAGCGCCCTGCATGTATCCCTCCACCATGAATGGAGTTTAAGTTCTCAAAACTACCATAAAACAGTGTCTCAGTCATCAGGCAGTGAATTCATAACCATTTACTGTAGTAACTTTCTGTGAGGGAGCTTTTAGAGGTGGACGTCTGGTTCCCATCACCACCACTGTGAACAATTCTGACTCTCTAGAACAGAGTGTTTTACACCAAACCACTCTGAACGACTCTGTTTACATCTTAACCAGTTAGTCCTGCAACCTTTATGTACCAAAAACAGTCATAATTCATTCTACATGACCATTTTCTATCTTTTCTTTATGCCTTAGAATCAAGCAGACTTTTTGTTACTGTGTCTTTAAGACTGGTATATGTAAATGAGCTCTGTTCTGATTGGCCGTGCCTCTTTCAAAAAGCAGTCCAGCTGAATCACTCCTTATAACTTCAGGCTGAGCTGAACAGGCAGATCTGAATGAGCTGGTTTTCACGACAGCACAAACACAGTGAGTTGAAAAGGGGCTCAGTCCTCAGATTCAGGCTGTGTGAACCGAGGAGTGAACGTAAGTAAAGTAATAAAGTGATCAGGGCCCTTTAAGCAGGTCTCCTCTGAGGTGTTCCTTTCATGTGAGCACCTACGTTACCGCGGTGTCTCCAGACAGGACGGCTGGTGAAATATGTGGAATGTTCTTGTCTAAAATCTTTATGCCACAAACATTTTTCGGTGATATATCAGCGGTAATTTACTGCCGCTGCCTCTCCGCGGCCAAACCCCCCGGCCACGTTAATAAACCTTCGCTTTAACAGGCTCCAGTGAAGTGGCTCCAACAGAAACACGGCGGCGTTCGGCTCCACTGAGGAGGGTTCGCACCTGAGCGGAGCGCTCAGAGCCCCGGGCTGCTGTGGGCTCGGCTCTGACTGACAGCTCCAGGTTCAGAACAACACCTGGATGGCAGAGCCGCAGAGCCACCGTTCACCGCCTGGCCTTAAAGCGATGCTTCAGAGTCTGGGTTTCCCCTCTTAGCCTGAGTGACGGTCTGAGCTGTGACTCTTTAGTTCTACACTACAGCTATGAAGCTAATGGAGCTGATAAGTAAAGGAAGCCTATATTCCATCAATTAGCGTGTAGCTAACTGAGTCCCTAAAATAGGCTAATGTTACTAACAAGTAGTGGACGCTTATACTCCACCAATTAGCATGAAGCTAACTCAATGCATAATAGTAGGCTAACCTTGCTAACAAATACTAGAAGCTATGTCTCACTAATTAGTATGGAGCTGACTGAACGCCTAACTGTAACGTCAGTAGTTCAGTATTCCGTACAGTATTTCGGCACTTTTCACGTTTCAGCAGTTATTGTGGAAATACATACACGAGTCATACACGATTTGATGATCGGTTGGACTCTGCAAAATCTGCCTAGCAACCAATATGCACTTTGATTGGTCACATTTGGGCCAATACTTTTAATGAAATAAGAGAAAAAAGTCATCTGTGTCGGTTTGTGCCATCAGTATTCCGAACACCAGCTTCCACAGAGGGAGCGGTTTTCCGTACAGTGTTTTCCCTGCATTTTATTAAAAGTTTTATGAAGTCTAATTGCATAAAAATAGACATTAACTGATTATGAAAGTGAATTAATGTAAACAATGTGTGCAGTGAATGAGGCTACCGTGGAGAGAAGCCCAGTAAAGTGAGTCAGTGCTGTGAAGCTGCGCAGCTGAAAGGAGTCTGCTGAGGTCACTTAGCTGACGGTGTAAACTCAGATTAACAGCTCATTACTGAACACGCTGTGTTTCATGGTGATGATCCACTGTTTAATACTCGTTTTAGTGTTAAATATGATGTTTAAACGTGCTGAAATGCATTTTAACTGGCCGTGAAAGTTTCCCCACCCCACTCACATTCGCATCCCTGGGTTTCCCCACCCGCCGTGTCCGTGTGGCGCTGCGGGGGTCGGTCACTATCTGCACATATTTGTTGTCCAAACCCAGCTTAGATGGTCTTTCTGAC